ATATTATTAAACAATAGCCGATATTAGCCAATATTATTAACCAATAGCGGGGTGATCTAAGGCTTCAAGTCGCATTGATTTGTAGCTGTGAGCTACAGGTTCGCGACCCAACTTGCTGTGAAAATTTTGCGACGTCTGTGTAGATGCGCTGTTATTTTCATCACTTCAAATTCATAAGAAATCGCAATCACAGATTTTAATTAACACGTGTACATGAAATGTTTAATACGGCGTTAAATTAGTTTTCGATATTACACCGAAAATATTTTTATAATATCGAAAATATTGCGATTTTACGCCGAAAAATTTAGAATAATTAAGATTGAAAGTTTATTGATGATGCTATGGTCATTGTTATTGCGTCGGGATAATTGCTCAAGGGGTTTCTCAACCCCCCCCAGAAAATTTTCAGAAAAATTTATGTGTCATTTTGTGCGTTTATTAACTCACTATTTTAATACGAGTAATAGCAGAGAGTGGCTGCAACACTTAAACGCCCTTTTCCTGGACCAAACTGGGTCAAGATGACTCCCACACGAGCGAAAATATATCTGGGGCCATACTTTCAAAACTCGCTAAGTGAACGTAAGTACTTACGCTCTATTTTCTTGTCTATGATTAGTGGATTTTGCTCGAAAGGCCGTCAATGATTGGCTGAAAAACTTACGATCTCTTAACTTTTTTTGAAAGTATAGGCCCTTAGACAACAGCCCGCTCATTTGTGTGAGTGCAGAGGTCACGAGACACTATGGCGTCTAAAGATTCTGGCCACGAAACTGAAAACTTTCTTCGACTTATTGGCTTGAAAAATTGTATTGTACCCGGACCCATTTGTGATGAATGGGAATGAGGTGAGAATATTCCAGGAATGGGAATGAGGTGAAAATATTTAATGGATGGGGATGAGGTGAAAATGTTCAATGAATGGGAATGGAGTGAAAATATTCCAGGAAAGGGAATGAGATGAAAATATATAATGAATGGAATGAGGTGAAATTATTTGCTGAGTGGAAATGAGATAAAAATATCTGATGGATGAGAAATGGTGAAAAAATTTTTTGGATACGAATAAAATTAAAAAATTTAACGGATGGGAATAAGTTAAAAATATTTTATGGATAAAAACAAGCTAAAAATGATTAATGGTTTGTGTTACTGAAAATAATTAATAGATGCAATAAGCTAGAAAAATATTTTATGCGTAAGCAAAATGCTAATAAGTTTAAAATATCGATGGATGGGATAAATTTGAAAATATATCTAAAAAATTAAATGAACCATGTAATTAATAAATGTCATCACAGGAGCCATCACCGCTCAACGATCAGTGTCGGGGTTTGAACAGCCATGTAATATTATAATTATTCTCTAATTTCATATTCTGTTCATCTCAGAGAAATTTGAACTGTGAACTCTAGAGCTATGACAACTTTTTTGTCAATTTATATTTTATTTAGACGAATTTAAATAAAATTTTAGAAATTTTAATCAAACCAAGGCGAATAGAACAAAAAATCTCTGTAAGCCAACATATGGCTCTTATCTAACAATAAATTTCGATTGAAGTATAGACTACAATCACATAATGAAAATTCAGTTTACAGAGAACCGTAATTTTTATTTTAAAAATGTTATTTGTTATTATTCGCCATGAAAAATTCGTGGACAACAAGAATTATTCGGGAAAAGAAATCATATCTTCAAATATCCACGTTATATACACGTGGCACAAATTTCTTATTATATAAAAGCTATTGTAGCCTCCAGCCAACGTCTTATTTGTCACCACAGCAGCCGCTCAAGTTTTATATAAGGCAAGAATATTATGTAAATATTTCTGTAGCCCGGTATTTCTGAATTATCATTTATTGCAACATTGCAAACATATGTGATGTAAAGTATTTCAATATTGTAAACATATGAATTACTCATTTTTTCTAGCAAGTGTACACGATGTGAATACGCAAATGGTATTTTTTTAAGATGATACCGTATCGAGCATCGCAAGCACATTTATGAATAACTCAAAGCATTTGAAATTTGAAACATTCAAGGCAAAATTTTTTACCAAATTCTCTATGATCAAAACTGTGCACATTACGTCCAGCTATATTTTCTGCCTTGTATAATATTACATATTTTCTTCCTATTTATTTATTCTATTTCTTATAAGTATAATATATAATATATATTATACTTATATAATATATATTATATAAGTGCACTCTGAGCAACGCGCGGGTCATTGTCCAAATTACGGTGCACTTTGCCTGTGTGGGTCATCCTGACCCAGTTGGGCACGGCAAAGTGATACGCTCTTAAAATGAGTACTTATTTGGGCCTATACCTTCAAAAAAAGTTAAGAGATCGTAAGTTCATCAGCCAATCATTGACGACCTTTCAAGCCAAATCCACCAATCATAGACAAGAAAATAGAGCGTAAGTACTTTTTTCAAGCAAAATCTACCAATCATAGACAAGAAAATAGAGCGTAAGTACTTACGTTCACTTAGCGAATTTTGATAGTATGGCACCACTGGACAATATAACCCATTCGTTTTTGTGTGTGTAATATTAATAAGTGGAATGGGTAATATTAAGTGATCAAAAATAATGAGAGAAAATAAAAAAATTATTATACGCGCATGGTAAGTGAAGATCATTACTAACCGCCGTATTTATATTGTACAGAGATATCATTTATGAATAGTTATTATTTTCGAGATATCATTTATTATTTAATTGCACATGACGACGCGTGCAGTATTGGCACGATAAGAAGAAGAAGAAGTAGAACTTTTCGTAAGTCGGCGCGATAAATAGAAAGTTCTGTCGTTAGTAAGGACTAAGGATCAGTGTAATTGTAATAATTATTAAATAATAGTTATACTAAATAATACTAAATACTAATCCTAGGAATAATATTCTAGCAGTGTAGTATTAACTATGTCATTATTAGCATTTCCATTTTTATTCAGTATCAGTCATTATTCAGCATAAGTGATTATTACATATATCCATAAATAGTGATTTGCCAATAAATGTTTGGATATTCTGATTTTCAATACCAGAGGAAACATTTGACGTATAAAATCATTTATTTAGAAATAGTGAACATAATTGTAACAAAATTCGAGAGCCTAGCCGTCCGGAAATAGGTTGCTTCGGAAGTTTCAACTGCAAGATTTAACATCAAAAGAGGAATTAACTATTAAATAATTAGAAATTATACTTTACTGTGAATCCAGCCTGTTGAGTAAAATTTAACCCTCAGGGATTAGTACTCATTAACGAGGCCTCTACTAACCCTCTACCTCATTAACGGGGTCTCTACTGACCCTCTACCTCATTAACGGGGTCTCTACTAACCCTCTACCTCATTAACGGGGCCTCTACTAACCCTCTACCTCATTAACGGGGTCTCTACCCCATTAACGGTGTCTCTACTAACCCTCTACCTCATTAACGGGGTCTCTACTAACCCTCTACCTCATTAACGGGGTCTCTACTAACCCTCTACCTCATTAACGAGACCCTTCTCTACTAACCCTCTACCTCATTAACGGAATCTCTACTAACCCTCTGCCTCAATAACGGGTTCTCTACTAACCCTCTACCTCATTAACGGAATCTCTACTAACCCTCTACCTCATTAACGGGTTCTCTACTAACCCTCTATCTCATTAACGGGTTCTCTACTAATCCTCTACCCTTATTAACGGGATCTCTACTAACCCTCTAACTCATTAACGGGGTCTCTACTAACCCTCTACTCTCATTAACGAGGTCTCTACTAACCTTCTACCTCATTAACGGGTTCTCTACAAACCCTCTACCTAATTAACGGGGTCTCTTCTAACCCTCATCCCCTCATTAACGGGGTCTCTACGAACGCTCTACCTCATTAACGGGGTTTCTACAAATCCTCTAACTCATTAACGGGGTTTCTACTATACCTTCTACCTCATTAAATGGGTCTCAATTACCCTAAATTACGGAGTCTAAATAAAAAATGAAATAAATATCTTTTGAATTTTGCTTACGAAAGCATATTTGCAATCATGATTGCAATCAGGGAAGCCCGGAAAATTTTGCGTTGTTATGTGGCTATTTGAAAAAAGTTTCAAAAGTTTCAAAAGTTTGGAAGTTTCAGAGCTGCATCGTAAATACAAATAACGAATCACGCACGGCAATTCGAGAAACGACTATAACTTTAAATACGAAAGCATATTCGAATAGAAGTAATTGGATGTTTTTGAGTTCCAAGACTTTACTGCGACTTTAAAAATATATACTAACATATATGTACTTACATTAGCCAGCAAAATATTACATATGAGTTTATGTCCCGGAGTAACTACATAACAAATAGCCTGTCTCTTATACACATCTAGATGTGTATAAGAGACAGCTACATAACAAATAGCTTTGATTAGTTTGTAACATAAGGAAATCACATAATATTTAGCCATTAAATGTTTGTTTCGAAGTTTATTAACTAGTATTATAGCAAACATCCATGATCCCTTCAGTTATTTCCTACATTTCATCTATTTAGGCATTTAAAGTTGTTACAATGTAGTGCAAAACGAGTAATAATTTTTTGAAAAGTAATCTATCAGCTTTAACTGCATTAAGCAATACTTGCTTCAAGTGTATATAATAAATGGTTGAATCAATTCAAGTAAAATACTGTATATGTTCTTTACTTTACTTCGCCGTCTGCATCATAGACAATAGAGGATTTTTGCAACTAACTTTAAAAAGCTCAAGGCTTGAATCTTAAACGCAATTGCGTCTTCGCTTTCGTTTAGGAAAATGAAAACTCGAGCTTGCTTGGAATAGGAATTCTATGGCCAGAAATTTTTTATTTATTATTTTACAGCTAAAGGTTAGCGGCTTCAAAAGTTGAGTTAACTAAACTATGAACTAAGTTTAAGTTTAATCTCTCTAAGTAACAAACTAAGTTGAAGTATAAAAAATTAATATAAATGACTTACCGCAGACAATCCACATGACGAGCGCATTGCCACCGATGGCAGCGGCGAGCATGACGCCGAAAACGAGCGTCCACAAAGTTTGCTGCCACCAGGGGAGCAGAAATGGTCGGTCCTGCGGTATAAGTTTACTAACACAGTAACTCGACACTACGGCTAGCACATGTGCGCCCTCTGGCGGGATAAGGTCGAGTGCCGGAACAGATGTGTCATCATTGAGAATGCTGGGGTGAGAAACGTACCGTAAGTCATTAATATCATTGCCAGTATCTATTCTTGGGATGGGAGTATCATAGGCATTGTCATTTGGAAGTGAGTTTGAACTGCCGCCGCTTGAAGCGCTGTTAAAGTTGACGGAGATCATGGCAAGCCAGACGTCTTCGCTCACCGAGATGTTGAGTGTGTCGCTCATCAGCGACACGCAATGCAGGTAAGACTTCAGCCATAGTGGGTCCAAGCCCTCTGTGTCGTTCGTATGCTGCATTCTCAAAAAATTTATTTGAAGATTCTTATTATATTTTCCTTTGATTCGGTAGGTTGGTTCGAAAAATTCTTGGTAATATAGTTACGTAGAAAATGTAAGATGTAGTAATTCTTCATCCTGTGGACCATGGGCCGCCGAATCCATTTCGACGAGAATCATTCACCTTGAATACTTCATCTTTTTATGAAATAGATTTCAACACACTTGTACTTGTTTTGACACTCATTTCACGTCGCGTCATTACGTGTCTCAATTCTAACACAACGAGCACAGATCAGTGTAATTTCATTCATTATTTTTCAAAAAAATGTGCATACGCACTTCTTTCTCATGCTTAGACAAACAAATTTAATATCACATACTATCATCCTGTTAATCATCATAACATACCTGATGGAAATATATCATAATTAATACAGGACTTAGCTCTTATAACGTCGATGACATGTCGGTGTGAGACATACTGTCCAAAAACTACGTCTGATACGATTATGCAAGATATAACTGTCAAACAACTACGTCTGGCATGGTGGAATAAGATATATAACTGTCATACAACTACGTCTGGTATGATGGTGTAAGGCGCATAACTGTCATACAAATACGTCTGGCATGATGGTGTACGGCACATAACTGTCATACATTTACGCCTGGCATGGTGTAAACACATAACTGTCATGCAATTACGTCTGGCATGATGGTGTATGGCACATAACTGTCATACACTTACGCCTGGCATGATGGTGTAAGACACATAACTGCCATACAGTTACGTCTGGCATGATGGTGAAAAACACATAACTGTCATACAATTACGTCTGGCATGATGTTGTAAGGCGCATAACTGTCATACAAATACGTCTGGCATGATGGTGTAAAACACATAACTGTCATACATTTACGCCTGGCATGATGGTGTAAGACGCATAACTGTCATACATTACGTCTGGCATGATGGTGTAAGACACATAACTGTCATACATTTACGCCTGGCATGATGGTGTCATACAACTACGATGGTGTCATACAACTGACATACAACTACGTCTGGCACAGTTATGTGCAAGACACATAACTGTCATACAAATACGTCTGGCATGGTGGTGTAAGACACATAACTGTCATACAAATACGTCTGGCATGATGGTGTAAGACCCAAAACTGTCATTCAAATGCGTCTGGCATCGTGGTTTAAGACACATAACTGTCATACAAATACGTGTGGCATGGTGGTGTAAGACACATAACTGTCATACAAATACGTGTGGCATGGTGGTGTAAGACACATAACTGTCATACAACTACGTTCGGCATGGTGGTATGAGACATATAAGTGTCATTCAACTACGTCTGGCATGGTGGTGTGAGACATAACTGTCATACATACGTCTGGCTTAGTGATGTGAAGCACATAATTGTCATACAACTACGTCTGGTATGGGAGTGTGAGACATTTCAGACAAAAGACATGCTGGAGGCGTTAGACATGAACAGCCATGTAAATACGTCTGTAGTGGAGGTGTCATTCAGACATCAAACAGTTTTTAAACCTCACCAATTGCAAACGAAAAATTACTGGATAACGTAATATTTGATTATTTAATCAAAACATTAACGCTCAAGTAAAACAGGAGCAGAGAGTGGGTGTAGCACTAATATGACTCTTCTAAAGCCAAACTGAGTCCGGATGACCCACAAAAAGATAAAACTGAATAGCTAATAAGATAAAGTCTCACGCATTTCTCTGAGTGTAAGCTATGCGACTCAGGTCCCTCGGTACGTTAGTGGATCCCATGGCACGGAGATTCCCATCGTCAACAACTAAATTCGTACAACAACAACAACTACATTCGTACAACAACAACAACAACTAAATTCGTAGAACATCAGCAACTAAATTCGAAAGCAAGACGGAGATTCACATCGTCAACAACTAAATTCGTAAACAAGACGCCATAACACGTCACTCAGCGGCCAGTTGGCTCGTAGAACGTAATTGATTCACATTCGTATAAAGTATAAACAAATTCAAATATAATTGGAGTCAGAGAGCTGTAAATAGACGGAACAACGAACGAGCGTTGGGTGCGCCTCTGGAGATGCAATCTTTCGACTGTGTATTGCGATGCAATCACTTAATGTGTTCTGTATGATCTATGCAATTCGCNTGTTACCATGGAAGATTGCCATCACTTTGCACGGTATCTTTGTTACCATGGTAGATTGCCATCACTTTGCACGGTATCTTTGTTACCATGGAAGATTACCGAAAATTTACACGGTATACCGATTGCCGTGAGTGCGCACGGTCGGCTGCCACGCCAACATTTATTAATAATAAACATTTATTAATAAATTCATTTATTAACATTTATTAATAAATTCATTTATTAACATTTATTAATAAATTCATGGACGTAAAATCCATTCAGTTTTGCCCGCCAGCCTTGCCTTCAAAAAGACTGATGCACTGAAGTAATAATGTAAAAATTAATTTTAAATTAAAAATACTCATAGTTTACGATCGAAAATTGAATTTACAAAATCTATTTCAGCGATTAAGCAACCATGGAATGGTCAATGTCACTTCGATAATAATAATTGATATTTCGGACATTTTCATTCACAAAAATTTCTTTCTCCTCCAAAAATAGCCACTTAAACTTCATAAAATATGCATTTTTCTATCAACTTGGAATGCGAGATTTCAGGAAAGCCTGGTGACATTCTCAAATAATTTGAAATATACATTTTTTGTGAAAAGTTTTTTGATCGCGGTGCACATGGTAAATAACAATCATATTATCAAAGCAAGTTTAGCACGGTATTAAAGAACGTTACTGGAAAACTATTCGGACAATATTAAAACACTTTTAGCACCAAGAATTTCACAGAAAAGTAAATTTACCATTACTTTATAAAAATAATTTATAAAAAGTAATAACAGTAATTTATTATTACTTTATATGAGAAAACATTTCGGAGCGTAAATTGGCGGTAACCGAGGTACAGTGTGTATTGACGGTAACCTAGGTACCATGTACATGGACGATAACCGTGATAATACCATGTACATGGACGGTAACCGAGATAATACCCTGTACATTGACGGTAGCCGAGATACCGTGCACACTGACGGTAACCGAGGTACCGTGTACATTGACGGTAACCGAGATACCGTGTACATTGACGGTAACCGAGATACCGTGTACACTGACGGTAACCGAGATACCATGTACATTGACGGTAGCCGGGATACCATGTACATGGACGGTAACCGGGATACCATGTACATGGACGGTAACCGGGATAATACCGTGTACATTGACGGTAGCCGGGTTACCGTGCAGACTGACGGTAATCTTCTGCAGTAACCAGGATACCGAGCACATTGACGGTAATCATTCACGGTAAGCTGTGGACCGTAATAATAAGCGGTAACCGGAATACCGAGAACATATACGGTATCCGGGATACCGTGCAAACGATGAGGTGGACACAGATGCTCAATTCACGTGTCGAATAGCATTCAGTTATTTGATTTTAAATTAAGCGCAAAAACAATAGAATTTAAAATGGAAAAATAAATTCGTGTTTATTTCAGACTTAATTGCAGACATAAATAATATGCGTTTAAAAATTATTTTTTAAAGACAACACTTCTAAAGAATACAGTGTCTCCGGTGTTACACATGTACAATGGATTTCTAATTTTATTTTCAAATATTAAAAAAATAATTTTTACATTTTTTTAATCTACAAAAACTAAATTTTCAAAATTACTTATTCTGTCAATTGATTCATGCATTGTTTCCGACTTTTTGAGAGTGTGCAAAATTTCAAATTGATTGGACAGGTAGAAGTGTGTTAAATATCGATTATGAGATTTGTAGCAGACAAACAAACAAACAAACAACAAGAAGTAAAGTTAAAGAGAAGTGTTGTAAAAATAGCGGCATACGTTGCTACTCAATTATAAAACGTTTGAGCAGGCGGCCGTTGGGAAATTAGCGTAGAATTTCAGCTTGATGGGAAATCCCAATTTCAATGCACGCTAAAAATACCGTCCTGAACTGATGGGGGCTAGCAAACAATTTCGAGATAAATTGGTTCTAATTATAACAGAAAATTCAATCAGATTACCATCCAGTGATGTAAAATCAATCTATTTTTCTCCGTACGATGCTTGCAGTATTTAAGCTGAAAAGATAATCAGTATTTATATTGATATATTTGAAGACATGAGCTTCACTTCATGCGTTAATGACATAGCTAGCAAGTTTCAATTGAAAATCACCACAAAAAAATTATTCATGTTAATTAACATCATTTTTCATTGCGAAAGTGAGCGGTAGTTTTGAAAATCATGCGATAAAATTTATGTAAATTCTATACATTATTTGCCAAAGAGCAGCTTTAAAATTAAATAAAATTTCCTTCCCAGACTGCATCATTTAATAAAAATTTCTCACTAATTGGTTGTAAACATGATTATTCAGAAATTTCGTCACTAGTCTACCATTACTTTTGAATAGTTGAATGGAGAAAGACTGAAAAAACTGACCCTGTATTAATAAACGATCAGGAGGCCTGAAAAATGTTCAATAATACTTGCTGTATCTACAATCTCAGGCACCATCTAGAAATAACTTATTTGTCTAACTTTTTCAATGCCTATTGCTGTTTTTGATTCTCCGTGAACAATTTACTCGATTGAAATCTCCATTACCAACTTTACTCATTCAAATTATTTAGTGTTACAATTCAGCATTGTTGCGAAAAATTATCTTATATGGAAGTGATCGGAAATTAAATGGCTTTCGGGCATTCATTTCGAATTAACCGCTAGCGAACACACAATTAAAATACAAGGTCTATACAATAGAAGCGAATTGCGTAGTTCATACAGAACACATTAAGTTATTGCATCGCAATACACAGTCGAAAGATTGCATCTCCAGAGGCGCATCCAACTCTCGTTTATTGTTCCGTCTATTCACAACTCCCTGACTCCAATTATATTTGGATTTGTTTATACAAATGTGAATCAATTACTTTCTCTGTACTACCTGGCCGCTGAGTGACGTGTTAAGGTTAATTAATGGTTAATTTTCAGGATATATTTTTATATTTTTTGGTTATAAATTCTGGGAGAATTCTCGATCTAAGCAGTCAAGTATCATAATATACGTTTAACACGTTATTAAAAGACGTTAAAAACGCATCTTGCACGTTATTCAACAGTTTAAGCACGTTATTAGAACACATCAATAGAAAGAGATCAGCCCATTATTAATACACGTTAGCACGTTACTAAAGCACGTTATTAAAGCACTATTATATCACGTTACTAAAGCA